CCTGTAATTTATTTACCTATCAGCACAATTTAAAAGTTGATGTATAGCCTTAWGTCTGTAATTATGACACAAATTGGAACAGATTTTTACAAAGAGCAAATCTTTCCCACTAAATTGGTCATAGGACATAAGGGTGTCCAGGGACTCCAGGGGATTAATCGTCAAATTAATCGTTATCGGCTAAATACCACAATTAATCGTGATTAACATTTTTGCCAATATTGCCCACCCCTATGCGACAGGCAAAGCTATGGCACGTCGCCACATTGTATGGTCCATTGTGATGGTCAAGTATTAATGTAATAAAGTTCTGGCAATAACCCGGAAAGCAGAACCCAGCACAGTAATGATTGAAGCACCTTAACCTCTAACTGTCAATGCTCCAAAACTATTCCATCAATCAAAATGCAAAAAATATTAAATAAAAGTTAGTTAAAAATCATTCTATCAGTTGTTAAATATTTTCATTTGATAACCAGATCACTTGCATTGCTGGAAGCAAACTTACCAAAACTCTTTTTTTATTTCTTCTTTCTTTTAATCCTCCGGGGATTGGCTGAATATCGATCAGCACTATTTTTAATATCACTATTATATTTCTATGCGCAAGATAATCTTTCCAAAGACACATTGTTTGAATAAAGTTTGTTAAAAAAAAGTTGTCTCCTTTTCGATGGGCTCTAAGTACAAACCCAGGCAAACTAGGCATCAAAAGGAACCTCATGACATAAACTTTTCAAAAAGTAAAAAAGCAAATTGTCACACTCCGAGACAGCAACGGATCATTGAAAGAATTTCCATTTGAAATTGAAATCACTTTTAAATCAGAAATAGACCTGTATTTGTTTTATTATACTGTAAAACTAAAACTACAATAGATAAAAGGAAAAGGCTGATTCTATCAGATCAAGGAGGCAAATTTACCATAGAGAGAGGTCAAGTAATTTAATCATTTTTTCCACCTTTTTTTTCCACCTTCAAAACTTGTCTCAAAGGCATTTTTAAGGCTAAATAAATTTTCCAAGCTAACCAAATACCGAACAAGATGGAACTCTACCCCAACCATCGTCGATTTCCCCCGTCACAGACAGACTGATGAAGAGCATTTCTACGCTGGTGCAACCTTTTGTTCTGTGCTACAAAACCAGCAACCTTTGTAGCACCAGTGCTATAAGTTAAAAAAAGTTAATGTACAGGCGAAGTAAACAACATCTGTAGTTGTTTACTTACTAGAGTCAAAGGAGGAAACTGTCATCTGCAATGTTTGCATCTGCTTAATCAGATGTTATATATCACTGTGTGTAACCATGCTAATATTTTTTGCATAAATATAATAAAATATAGTTTGTCCAGTACATGTTTTTCTTATATTTTATCAAATTTTGAATATTTTTGTTTTGAGCAGGTAACCTTTTATGTCGAGACCTGGACAGGTAACATTTGGTGTCACTTGCCTGACAGGACAGGTAAAAAAAAAAGGTCAAACCCTGCTCAAGAGTTACTGATCATTTGAATGAGCTCATATTAATTAATTAATTAATTAATTAATTAATTAATTAATTGTTGGAGAGTGAGGCCGTCTCGGGGGGTCTCTCTGTGCATGTGGGCACGTGCTCGTCTCTCTGTTCTGTAAAGAATGTAACAAAAAAAGGTGATGCGTACCAGATGTTTTAGAAATGAGTTGGGTTTCGCTGGAACAGCACACATTCCCAGAGATGTTTGTGGAAAGAAATTCCTCCTCATCTGTCAAGCATGTTCTGACCCTCCTTCACCATGACCGCCCTGCATCCAGCTTATTGGGCTGTTTATGGTCTTGATTTAAATCTTATGTTTGATTGTTAAATATCATGAAGTGGTATATGTTGAAGCTGGTGACTTGTGTATTTTGTGGGCACGATACTTAAAAAGGTGTTACGGCCCAACAGTTTCAGGTCAAAGTTGAAGCAATATAAAACAACATTTTATTTGGTGTAAATGTCTGAGTATGTGTGGCACAGAGCTGAGGGTCAGAGGAAAAAGGCTGGGGATTGAGTAATTTATGCTGCATTCTGCTACTACGGGTGAGCCTTTTGTGTATTTTTGTCAGCAGAGTTGGAACCCTACCACCTGCTTTAGAGGACTGGGAAAACCAAAACCAAGAGAGACTTACAAACATTTACTTCAGTTATTAATTGACTCCAGTTTGATACTTATTCAAAGGCACTGAAGCAGCCTTATTATTCCTTCTTATGTTTTAGTTTGTCACTTTTTTCTTTTCTAACAGCTTTGCAAATACAAATAAAAAAGCATCATATGCAGATCAGTTGGTAAAAGTGTGTCAAAACATTTGGTAGCAGTACAGTGTATGGCAAAAGTAACAAAACTTCAAGAAATGTCTACGTTCACAACAATGGGATTTTGGCGAAATGTGTGGAAAAAAAACTAATTCTGTTTGGAGCTCAGTAGCTCAGTCATAGTTCACAATAAAAATATTATAAGTACTATAATACAGGTCTGAATATATCACAAAACATGTAGATCTTACATGACTGAGTTGGCATTTTTCTATACTTCGTTGTTTTTACACAATCTCAGTTTAACTTTACAATTTATTTTAAGATTTTAACATAAATTAATCAACTGAGCTGTCTGTAAACCATTTTTTGTTCCCACAAACCTTCCACCTTTACAGTTTTAGTAAAATTTATGTAATGCCAGATCAAAATCTGTGTTTCACAATAACATACAAAGTCGGATTTCTCTCAAAAACAATAAAATTAAACATAATGTAAGCATACAAGATGTAAAATTATATGGTTTTCTCTCATATCCCCCTCAGATTATGCGCCCAAGCTCTGATTGATTCCCATTTTGTGTTAGTTCAGTATTTTTTCTTCAAAACTAGAAGTGAAGGGCTTTATAAGTTCTCTTATTGTGTGGCTACCATAGTGACCCTAATGAACCACTGAAACAACATTAAAATGTGGAAAYATTGCTAAAGCTACATTTTTTCACCATAATTGTTTTGCAAAGAATAAATACAACATTTGTAAATTAATTAAAAATATCATCTTAGAAGCTGTAGTTGTAGTGTTGTCATTAGGGCTGTAATAATATTGAAAATTTATTGTCATTGCAGTATTAGTGAGTAGAATATCAATATTGCAAAGTGCTGCAATAAATTGTCGAAATTACATACCAGTATTGCACATCAGGTTTTGCTGAAGTTGTGCACCATTGTTGTCCTGATGCTCTTTTTTTTAGTTTGTTTACCAAAACTGGTGATATTTGGAATCAGGAACTTCTACTGTTATTTTTGTGGGTCAGAAGCTGAAATGTAAATTGGGATTTCAGACAATAGACATCCTTCAAATTTAAAAAAATAATTTTCTGCTTTTGTAAATAACTCTCCTGATTTTTCGTCAAAAAAAAAAAACATTCAGCCAAATAATTTGTCGACTGATTGTTGTTGCCCTGCAATTAACCCAAGTGTTGACAAGCGAGACACATTTCAGAGAGGATGTGTACTATAAATAATCCTGGCGTACAGGACTTCCAACAACAGCTGTGGCGTGAGAACAGGTTTATGTAGCTTAAAGCCTGACGGAGCAGCAACATGTGTCGGATATCATGTAAGCTTCATTGAGGAAAATAAAGGAATGGCAGCAGCGATGAGATCATTAATGCTGCGTCTCACTGTGGTCTCGCCTTGAATCATTCCAGCTGCAGCTCTAAGTGTTGGCGAGCAGATGTTACAACTTCAACATGATCAAATACTTTGCAGAAGCCACCCCCACCCACCAACACCCCCTTCCACCCTTTTTTCTGGCTCATTTTATCACTAAATCCAAATGTTTTGGACTCCTTGTTCCTCCCCTCATTATACAGTGAATATGTTTAAAGAAAATCACACTCTCACTGCTTAAAGTTTGTGTCAGTACTTTGAAAATGAATCTTCTCTTTTCAACACAACTTACACGCTGTTCCTCAGAGTAACTCTAGCACAAAGTGGGGTGAAAAATGTTTCCATGTGCCTGACTCACTGGCTGTAACTCTGAACTCCAGACACCCAGGTGGTTCGTTAGCTTCCTCATCAATCCATATTTTTACACAGGATGGAGTAAGTGGCTCTGCTTCATCTCCTCAGCAACCACCTCCACAGCTTTATACAGTAAACCGGCAGGATCCAGCTCTGTGCTGCAGGCGAGCTGGTGATGATGGAGAAATGGTGACTAACCATCTCCACTTCCAGCTTAAAGTCTGAAGAATAAAGAAAACATTAACTTTTCTTTGTCTAAACTCTGTTYTGAAATTCCTGTCACCTGAAGCAAAACTTCGTATTCAAGTCAAAACTTTGGTTCCCATGCTGTTGCTGTAAACACAAGAAGATAATAATGATGAGCCATAATATGAGCCAAAATTGCTACTGAATGTTAACTAGATGAATAATTATTGTTCGCCCCTGGAGGTAGAAGGCTGATATTATTTTTCCTTGTGTATGTGTTCTTGTGTTTGTCAGTTTATGTTAAAGTTTGCCATGAAGCAGTGGACTGATTTAATTGAAACTCTTTGAAACAGACATCAATCTACAACAATAATAACATTTGGGCTTTAAGGTGGCTAACTGACCCAAGAAAACACAAATTCAGGATGGTTGCATAGTCGAGTGACTTTAGCAAACTCCTAATTCACTGTAACCAACCGTTTTCTGGACATTGAGCTAAAGTTTGGTGTGTTAGTCGACCATCCTCCTCAACAAAGTCTAAGCGTTCTGCAAGGTGCAAAGACTTTATTTAAAACTTTGACACAAACTGTTGGCGTTACCCCTGTTTGTCTGTTCGCATACTTTATGATTATCTATTTTAACGTGTAGCCATTTTCATATTGCTTGAATTATGCTCCTTTTCATCATGATTATTTTATACAGAAAAACCTTGCAAAGGAATGTTAACAGCATATGTTTTATTACTTGTCTAATTTATGTTTTATTTAATCTTTAATACCTAACTTTTTTTTTTCAGTTCTGTGTGCCAAAAACCTGGCGAAGAAGGACTTCTTTCGTAAGTATTAAAGCTGTTTATTTTATTCTTTTAACTTTACAAAGACTTTTTTCTTTTGAGATTYGTGTGCGTACACTTTAAGGCCCTTTAAGGCTGATAAAGTGGCTGCCGTAGACATCAGCTCTTTAGGATCTACGTATTCGGCCATTTGAACAGATGTGGATTCTTTTCCACATATGTTCACGAGTGGAAGAGATCTCCATGTTGTCTCATTGATGTTTTTTTTTAAGTCTCACAGAGACTTCCAACACACCCCAGTAAAACGCTTCTATTGTCATTTTCAGCAGCCTTCTTGCACCACAGCTGACTAACTTCTTCACTAATTTAAGGTGTTGAGTGTTTTGGTTTGTTTGGGGCCGGCTGTCATGGTGAATGAGCACGTCCTGCTCATTTGGGTGGTTTCTGTGGTGCCCATTCCTGCCATTCCAAAGCCCAGGAGCAGAGCAAACATTCACTCGGGGAGTTGGTAGGGAGCAGCGATGACAATGTAGACAAACTGCAGCATTTCCCCCAAGTTTCTGGCTTTGGGGGCRGAATGGTGGTGGTGGGGTCTGAGTTCAAAGAACTCTTCCAAACTTCCCAAAGAAAATTTCTAGAGCTTTTTGATATGCAATTTTTTTTAGTGTGCATATGAATTTAGGTATTACACATCACATTTATTCATATTTCTACACAGTAAACAAAGGATGTTTAATGCTAAGAGTTAACTTTTTTCTACTGTATTTGCAATGAAAAAGATGAGTCAAATAAAAACTTATAGGTACAATTCCAGCAGATGTAAAAACAAAAGTTTTGCATGGTTTAATATTTGTAACATTAAGACAAAATTCTTTTTTGTTAGTTTTTTTTAACAGCACCAAAGCCATTTAAACTGTCAAAGCTATAAAAGCTTTACAGATCATTTTAAATCATTTTATACTCTAAATATTGTTTATTTATGAGTATACCACATTAGAATATAAAAATGGAGGCAGAGAAACAGCTAGTTATCTGGTTCTTGAATAGTGTAATGCTGCATTCACACCAAACGTGTTTTGAGCTTCAGGTTTACATGCAAACTCGATGGTGGACAGGTGTCGAGAAGTTCTGCGGTGCGTCTAGCGCTGCACGTTTTAAATGTTCAATGCGCTTGACACATGTTACATGTGTTGAACGCTGGAGTTGGAAAATCTGAACTTTTGCAGCTCAGTGCGGCGCATCGACCAATCAGAGTGACTCCACTGTGTGACATAGTGGCACATTTTCTGATGGGACGATTTCCTAAATGATGTCCACTAACCTGAGACAGATGGACAGGAGCTCTTTTGCTCTCTTTTTTGATGAGTGTCTGACCTCAACCTGCACAAGTGTCCAACTTGAAGTGTTGGACGAGTTTTTGATGCTGAAATCACGTTCGGTGTGAACGCGGCATAAAGCACCCTTCTGTTTGCCCTTGATCTGAACAGCGAGATGAAGAGATGCGACACGCGAACAGAGAATGATCGAAAGCAAAATTATTACTAATATTTATTTAAACAGTGACTGTGTGCATATTTTCTTTTTAAAATTAAAAATTGCAGAACATGAAAAAGTCTGCAATTAAATTTCCACGAGTTGAATCTTATATATCTCTCACTTAAAAAACAACAACAAAAATAACAAATATGTCTAGTCATAAACCAATTTTAGAAACCTGGAATGTATCATTAGTGTGGTGAGGCTGATTAAATGTAAAAGCAGCCTGCCATACAGGTGAGCTTCTACGTGATCCTGAAATGATCTGCTGCTGCCGACTATTAAATGAGTGAGATGGACTTAGAATCAAGTGAATGTCCACATCTTACTTTCATCTCTGCAGATAACAAGAAAAAAAAGTTTTTCTGTCTTCTGTGTGAAAAAAAAGACAACTATGGTTGCTTTTATGCTTTACTCTGTGCAACGTAGGCTGTAATTTCTCCCTCACTCCCTACAGTGGTAGGGAGCCATAGAGAAAATGAGAAATCAAGAGGAATTATCAACTGTGATATAATATTACAGTTATGTACAAAAAATATTTAAACTCACTGTGGTTATACATTAGGAAAAAAAAACGGTCAAAACTTACTCCTGTAATTAATATGGCCAATTCTGGGGTGGTGGTTGACAGGTGGGTCAGTTGGTTCTGTTAGCGGGGTGGACTGCCATCCTTCTACAATGATGGGGAAAACACTGGACTTCATGTGCTATAATTTTATATCTGAAAACACTGAAATGACATAAACATAAACTAAAAAAAAGTTGTTTAAAACCTCTCCTTTCCTTCAGAATATCATCATCCATGAGGATCTAAATGGTGCAGGTGAAAGTCTTGAAACTTAACCACTTCATTAGAGAGCACTAAACTGTCTGTCAAGTAAAGTTGCAAAGTTGACAGAGTTTTAAAAGTTTGTAAAATGGTGTTTACATGGACTGCTGTGAATTTTTTAACATTAGAGTTGTTTAAACTAATTTTATTTTGCCAAACTGAGGCTATTAAAAATCAATGTACAAATCGGTAAGATATTAAATGTTCACTACCTTACCACAGAAACCACTGCCAAATATTTGAACAGTTTTTCTTTTGTTGATAATAGTATTTACATAAATTACTATCAATAAGATATCSGCATATTTGTGAACATAATAAGTGTTTGTATTTGAGGTCAGAAAGCCCCACACAGCAGGGGGACACTATATGATGAGACTTCTTTATGATGTCCTGTTCTCGTCTTTCAGGCCTCCCTGATCCCTTCGCCAAGGTAGTTGTGGACGGTTCGGGGCAATGCCACTCCACAGACACTGTGAGGAACACGCTTGACCCCAAGTGGAACCAGCACTATGATCTGTGAGTCCCAGCACATTCCTTTTATGACTCTTCTCACATCTGCTTTCACAGATAAAAAGTGTTTTTCGGTTGATGCCTCGCGTTTCGTACGTCTGCCTTTATTTACCCTGGATGTGTGTCGAGCTTTGAGATGAACAGGATTTAAACAGGAACAGATGAAGAGAGTTCTTGCACCTGGGCCTCTCAGTATCAAGGATATGTTACAGTGACATAACGGCTCGGTCTAAAAATGTCCTTTGGAACGGCGTTTGAAGAATTAGTGAGGCTGGCGTCTCCACAGAGTATTTTCCTCCACTGACTGAAACACGTGCTTGTCTTGTTGTATCCCCATCGCCTTAATATTTTTCCCCAAAGAAGGTGCGTCCTGAGAACGCTAACCTGGAAAAAAAAAAGTGGAGACGGGAGCGCGTGAGTGAAAATGTGAGACTGAAAGTTTCCAGTATTCTCCCGGTGTTTATCCAAACCATCCTTCATGGCCAACAGTGGGAGGAAGCACGTGTCTCAGTTTGTTTGGTTGCCGTGGATACCAGACCCCCTTTCACTCTCTCTCGCTCCCTCTGCACAGCCATTGAATTAGCTGCTAGTGTCACATTTGACAAGAGGGGAAAAAAAGAAAAGTCACGTGCGTGCATGCGCACCTTGGGGATGATCCGACGGAGAAGAGAACGGCTCAGTGGAACGTCTGCTATAATTTGTCCCAAGAGTCTGCAGACGCAGTTGACTGGAATTTATGTGAAAGTGACTTTTCTGAGCCAATGATGCGTTTACCATCATTTACCGTCTGTCAGTGTTTACTCCTGTGGCTAGCAGGAGGAATCTCAGGTGATGTGATGGAGATCAGCCTCGCACGTATACAAAACTTCTGAGTGTTCAAAATTCAGTCCAGTGTATTTGGCTCTGTTTGTTTTCCCGTTTGTTGATTGTCCTCATATCAGGGTGTAGAATGTGTGAGTGAGTCCAGGGATGTGGTCTCTCTGGTGCTCCACAACCCATCAAACTGACCCATGAGCTGTGACCCTTCAGTATTGTTGCAGGATGTGGCCGGCATGCCAAAGATAGTAGACTCAGTCCATCTGGCTGCCTGCTTCTCACACTCATTCCTCCGGCACCAAATTTATAAAACGGATCTCTAAGAACCACAGRATGTGGTTGAAATGAACTCAGTCTTAACAAAATGCTATTTGTCAGTCTGTAAACGACAAGGACACAGATGTTATTTGTTACAAATTAATTTATTCAAAGAGCCAACTTACAGAGGTCTTTACTCTCCTGAAGTTCAGTTTAACAGTGGTGGTCCCGATACCATCATTTTTACTAGTAATTGTACAAAATGCCTCGATACTCGAAACTGATACAATACCATTATCGATACTGGTATAGATACTTCATTGAATGTGTTACAGTTTACATTTCAAGTAAAAAGTTTGTGAGTTCCAGGTATAAAAAAGTTATTTTTATTGATTGCAACAGTATATCATGCCGTAAATTTGGTTTGATCCAGTCAGAGGGGCTGTAGGCCTRTAAGGAAGGAGACACACCTTGTTCTAAATGAAAGTAATTTGTTTTTGAAATTATTGTGTAATATTTAAGTTCTAACTCCGTAAGTACTCATTAATGGTGAGTACCTAAACTTAAGGGAAAACTGGCATCAGGAGTAGGGAGGACTGAAACTGACAAAAATTTAAATAAACGCAAATATAAATAAGTCAATCAGTCAGTCAGTAAACTTAAAATGCACCAATTAATTTAAGAAACACATTACCTTGTGTTTTATAGTTTGACTTTCATATTTATTTTTCTAACTTAGTTCCCAAACATATATTTTAGCACAATTTAAATTTTACAGTATTTTTAAAAGAAAAATTATTTAGTTCAGTTTTTTTGCTTGTAAATATGTATATTTGTCACCAAATCTTTTATTTAGTTGTTTTATTTCACCAACCACCAAACACACACACACACACACACACACACACACACACACACACACACCCTTTTATTTCCATGTTTTTTTTATTCATTTTTCTGTCTCCTGCTTTTACTTTATCTTATTCATTTCTGTCTCGTTATGCAATTAAGGTGGGCGGTCCTTCTTGGGTCAGCTCCTCTACTAGTGGTCAACAGACAGGAAGGAGCAGGATCAATGTTACTGTACAAGTTAAAGTTAAGGAGGATTGAATCTTGAGGAGGAATAAACACTTACCTGTGCTCCTTTGCCCTATGGAGACACTACACTTCACACTTCAGTTGCTAAACTCTGGCAGTGCAGGCATGCATCTGTATGTTAGTATTTCTATTTAAAAAAATGCCTGGTGCATGTAAAGGCTCGTCATGACCAGATTAATTACATTTGTGCCCATATAATCAATACATTCGGATTATTTCATACCATCCATCATCCATCCATCTTTTTTACCTGCTTCTAACATTTCAGGTAACAGGGGTCACTGGTGCCCATGTACAGCATAGAGGTAAACAGTTTTTACAAATTAAATGTCTGCAAAGCTGTGTGTAGTTTAGTAATAATTTCTCATTCTGTGGTGTGCAGAATGCAAACACCTAATCTTTTTCCATGGGTGTGCTGCTCTTCTCAGAAAAACAGTCCTCCCAAGTGTTTTATTTATTTCTTTATTTTTGGTCAGATGGGATTTTGCAGATGTTAGGTCTGAGTGAAAACAAGGTCAACGGGGAGAAATAAAAAATGCAGAGTATTTAAATTAGCCGTCATCTTTCTCTTTGCTCTTTTGCATAAAATGCATCAGTTTGGTAAATGGACTGAACTTGTATATCTCTTCAACAAGTCCCCATGGACTTTAAAGCTGTGCACATTACAGTCATTCACCCATTCATACACTGATGATGGTGAGCTACGTTGTAGCCACAGCTGCCCTGGGACATACTGACAGAGGTGAGGCTGCCATGCACTGGAACCACCAGAACCTCTGTCTTGCTCAAGGACACGACTGTGTCAGACGTAGTGGGGGCTCGAACCGTCAACCCACTGGTTACAGGACATCTCCCATAACCAGTCTGCCACATCTGCCATAAAGATTTAGTTTTTGAGCTTTTAAGAATAGAATAGCATCAAAGTAAATACATTTTTATGTTTTTTCTTTTTTTACTTTTATTTCCTTTGCTTGGTTTTGCTTTTAACTTAGCTAAAGTTAAAAGCAAAACGTTATTAAACGTTGAGTAATTTAGGGGATTTACTAGTATCGTTTTTTCAAACCAGAAGCAGTTCCAAGCAGTTCTATTTATCCTACCACATTGTGAATGGGTTTTTGCTGCAGATTCAGTATATTTTTACACAACAAACACCTGCAGAAGTACTGCAGAATACAAATGTCGTTGTTTAGAATTGCTGCTTAAAATTGTTTTAAATGTCAGTGGCATTTAAAGTGTGGCTACTTATTGATTCGTGTAGGAATTACAGATTTGTTTCACTCTAAAAAATAAAAAATAGATTTTCTCTTTAACTACTGTGGGGGAAAAAAGAGATGTACCAAAATTAAATCAGTGTATTTAAAAGAAAAATTACATGCAGTTTTTTAAAGGTGCCGCTTTTTATTACAATTTTCCCACCGTCTTCTTTAYTCTGTGTGTATTAAAAACCTTAGCCAGACTAATGAATTTTATTAGGCGGAGGGTGATCCAATTGGCTGGATTTTGGTTATTAGTGCGTCCCTCCCCGTCATGTCTGTCTGACATAGCAGCCCTCTCACATCGCAGCCCAGACAGGCATTTGGCATCGACTCAAAATGTCCAGACGTCTTACTCACAGCTCCATTGTTTCATATCCCTTTTGGTGAGAAGCACAACAATTACAGAGTAATGTAGTTCTGCACACTGTTCAAATGATGAGCTCTATTCTGAAGGAGGTGATTTGTACGTGCAGACATGCTGTAACAAGTTCAGTTGCTGATTTATTTATTTGTTCATTGTTGTTGTTGTCTAACCCCAGAGGATATCTAAAGTCTTTCATTTCCATCATGTTTTAGCAGCTCTTGTGCTTCTGAATTATCTGCTCCTATTTAGTATTTGCATATTAAGTAGACCATTGTATGCTTTAAAGGGATATTCCAGCCATTTTAAGTGAAGTTTTATGGAAAACTTGCATAAAATAATATCTTACCTGTTGGAAACAAATAATTGTCTTTAAATTTGCCGTCTCACTTTTTTAAAGCTGCCGTTTACGTTTATAAAAATGCTTTTACACTTCACGACGCCTACTCCTGCAGCCGACAAATACGACCAACAAAACCTGAAAAACAAAGGCTGCATCTGAGTATCCTACACAACCAATAATATCCCAGGATTCATTGGGCCTCATGCAAGAACCGTTCGTACGCACAGATTTGTTCTTAAGTTGTGCGTACGAGTGATTTAGGAGAATTTGTGGCATTCACCAATGTTTTCGTATTCTAAGATTTTCTTCAGATACGAACAAAATTCACGAGTGGTCCAGACCTGTCGTGGTGCGCAACCACCCTTCTTCTGAATAAATGTAAACACAGTAATACAGGTGTTTATACTTAAATTAAAAATATTTGACCAAAGAAAAACTGGAGCTGGACTAGAGAGAGATGAATATGATTTAGACTTTTATTTCTGTGACTGTAACGACCCACAGGAGACACAACATCAACAGCACATTTCATTCCTTTAAGCAGCTCCTTTAATTCCACATGACACTGCTAAAGAGAACAGATTTTCTTTTCTCGATCTCGGAGAGCAGGACTTCAATCTCTGAACTCGTAAAGTTTTTCTTTTTTACACTGCGATGTCATTCATGAATGGACACTTCCTGGTATGTGGGGCAGGAAACATATATCCTTATAAGGTGTTTTTGGGGTGGTAATTATGCTAATCTCCTCTCACGTGCACGAGCAGCTGGATACGAACAGGTGGAATTTACGCAGCTCATTTACACCCTTTTCCTGAAGATAGAAGAGTTTGTTGAATCTGACGTGACATGTTCGTACGAACCCTTTGTACGAACAAAAGTAAGAAAAATTTAGGATAAGAATACGAACATGTTCTTGCATGAGGCCCATTGTGCCATCAGCAAATTAAACAGAAAATTTGAGATGACTGAGCTTTTTTAACGACAGTTTTAATTTTTATACTATTTATTTATTTTTGGAGGGAGGGGGGTCTCAGTGGAGTTTGGAAATGTATCATGGACTAGAGAGTATGGCTAATGAAATTTACATAATGAGATGTTGAATGAAATCCAGTTGCAAGTACTGATACTGGAACTCAAACCATGGAATTAATGTTTTTTTTTTATTTACGTGTAACATTTTTTCAATAAAACTCAATGTTGTGAAGTTGTACCGTGAAAAAACAACTGAAGGCATGTGATATAAAGCGTAACACCATGGTGACGGGGCAGCGTGTGGTCACGCAATCTGTCAGCTGTTTTTTGAAAATAAGATAAAACAATTTCAAAATTACTCTATTTAATACAGCTTTCTGTTTAAAACTGCAGTAGGGAACACTTATAAAAATGTTTTTTTTATATTTAAACAGTCACTGTGTCCTGACAGTAGACAATGAGATGAAAAATCTGTGGAAAAAATAAAGCTTCTCTAGTTTACCCCAGTGGTCCTACTGCCCTTTGCAGAAATACACCATTCCCGATCAGAAACAGCCAATCAGAGTCAGGGGGATTGTCTTACCAGTGTCAATCATGCTCGTGTGTGCACTGCCCACTCCCTTCCCCTGCTCAACGCATGACCTCGTTCAAACTCAAGATTGCTGCTGTAGCTGTGCTGATGGTGGAGAAACAACCTAACGTTAAAGGAAACCTGCAAATTTCTGAAGTGTTTAAACTAAGAAACTATTTTGTCTTGTGTCAAAATTCTGTAACTTACAGCTGGAGGAGCTTTTTTTTTTATCCATCCATCCATCCATTTTCTGTACACGCTTCTTCCTTTTCAGAGTCGCGTGGGTCACTGGTGCCCATWTCCAGCAGTCACAGTGCGAGGGGCAGGGTACACCCTGGACAGGTCGCAAGTCCATCACAGGGCCACACATAGAGACAAACGAGACAAACAACCATTCACTCTCTCACTCACACCTAGGGACAATTTAGAGTTATCAATTAACCTAACAGTCATGTTTTTGGTCTGTGGGAGGAAGCCGGAGTACCCGGAGAGAACCCACGCATGCACGGAGAGAACATGCAAACTCTACCCAGAAAGGTCCCCGGACCGGGATTTGAACCGGTGACCTTCTTGCTGAGAGGCATCAGCTCTACCAACTGAGCCACCGTGCCGCCCTTTTTTTTAATCTAATTAGGTAAATTGAGAACAGATCAGTAAGAGGACTTGGTATAAAACAAACGTTTTGTAAAGCAAGGCGATGTTAAATTGTGATTTCACACGCGCCAATCGTGATGGAATCGTGCCTCCCCGTCCTCTTATTTTACATTTCACACCATGTCCCAACTCTTTTGGAACTGAGATTGTACTCCAAAATAATAAATAAAGCTTAATCAGGTGAATGGGTATTATTTGTTCCCATCAGCACTGCATTTCAGCCGTGCCACAAAAAGGACCTGCTKACATAGTTTCAGTGATCCTCTCATAAGCAGGTGACAGTTTTGGATGCTGTAAGTGGTTCTTGTTGACCATAGTTGGCTGCAAGGAAATGTACATCATTACCTGGCACATAAACAGCTTCATGGGTAAGGATATTGCTGCAAGTAAGATTAAACGTATGAATTTGGAAAATATTTGTACTACAAAGATGTGGATGTAGTTTGAACAAACAAATAAGAGGCGATAAAAATATTAAAAGCTACATTAGGTTACTTGTAGTTAAGTTTTTTTCGTGTATTGTTATACTGTAGCTCTGCAATATTTTCATTTCTCCAGTCTTGTCCTGCTTTTCCTGAGGAGTAATGCTGTGATATTATAAATGATTCAAAGGTTCATGCTTTGCTCGTGATGCTTTGTCACAAACTGAGATATTCGAGGTCACATTTACACATTCGCCAACACACACACAGGCTGTAAAATCCCTCAGAGCTGCCCTATCTTCCTCTTCCGATCCCGTGTTTACAACACATCCTTGACCTGAAACTTGTCCGCAGCCTCTGTTGGCGATGTATCTCCTCTTCCTCATAGCGGTGAGGACATCCTGAGTAAAATTTATTGATCTGGTGATCAGTTTACTTTTATCCTAATGATTTGTGTGATTGATCATTAAGTATTTCTTTGTCTCTTTTTCTTCAGATACATTGGAAAATCCGACTCGATCACTATTAGCGTGTGGAATCACAAGAAGATTCATAAGAAACAAGGAGCTGGTTTCCTGGGTTGTGTTCGCCTTCTGTCCAAYGCTATAAACCGCCTTAAAGACACGGGCTGTAAGTTTTAGTTTTAGTTGTTTTTTTAACTCGTCTGAAAAGAGCTCATGGGATTTTTTTTTTGAAGTGTCTGCTTTTTCTTTTCTGTGTGGTCCTGTCTGGTCTCAAGTGGAGAAATGATGATACTCATTTCTAGGACATTTTATTTTCTGTGGCTTTCTGGAGCTCAAATATCAAAGGGGGCCAAAGTACGTCATCAGGTTGAGCTGGAAGAGTTAAAAAGAGACCCATCACTGATGATGATGATTAAGATGACAGCTGCAGGTCATACATGAGTTGTGGTCTAGAAGAAAAAGTTATGTTTTGCTTTTATTTCGGCTGCTCCCTTCTTCAGGGGTCACCACAGCTATCGAACTCACATGAAGATTTGACAGTTGTCTTTATACCTGATGCCCTTCCTGATACAAGCACTGTCCAGTGAGCTACCACAGCTCACATGTGGAGCAGCAGGGGCTGGGGTCCTTGCTCAAGGACCCAGAGTGGCAAATGAGGGATGGAAAGGGATTTGGGATTTAGACCTTTGAATATAAAATGCGGGAACYCCTGTGCTAGATGATCATCACAGAACGTTAGCATGATGCTACTGCCTTGTGTAGGTCTGTTGAGGTCAAAGTCGAGACATGAGGCCAGTGTGGACGATCCTGCTTCAAACTGTCCATGATCAAGACTCAAATGTGAACGTGGTCCCTCGACATGGACATACTGCCCACCATGCTTCACTCAAGACCTTGAAATTTTACCACCATGATGATAATCGCCACAACCTCACTAAAGACRTCTTCAAAATCCTGCAGACCACTCACGTTCCGAGTGGAGTTTTCTGTCACAGAAGGGTTGTCGTCCAGTGTGAGTRTATTGTGATAAACACACAGCGTTGCGTCTGTAGTCGCCACAGGTTTTAGCAGTTTGCAGTGATAAATGGTTGATCCCACCCAAGGCCAAAGGATGCAGTCTGCAGTGGAAAATGAAGCAGCAGTGACGTGTAGAACCGCACCGTTCCCCCTATGATGGAAACACGCCATTACCGTCCTGTCCCACTCACTGCGACTGACAGAGGCCAGACCAGAGAGTGTGAGTGGGGGTCAGCTGTCTGGCCCTGCCAGAACAGGAAGAGTCATTCAACTTCACCCTCCAATTACAGTAAAAATGTCTCATGTGTGAAGCTAGCTGCAAAAATAGATGGAAGCTATAGCAAATGTCTCGTATTTAAAAACGCTGTGCCAGACAGTTTTAGGAACAACACAGCAGTCTGCAGTTGTTTTCTTTCATGGTGAGCTGGTACCTGCTCTTAGAACCTGCGGTCATTTTTGGCTGAACCGAAGAAGAATCTCATCATTTTTCCTAGAAACATTGTTGTTTTCCTGAAGCGACACAGGAAACCTGAAGCTTGCGCAACAGCTGTGAGCGGTTTGCTTTTGCATTTCCTTTTTTCTCCTGGCCTGCTCCTTGTCCTCTCGGTTTCCACTTCTGTCTCGTCCATGGACTGGCAGCTTGTGTGTGTGTGTGTGTGTGTGTGTGTGTGTGTGTGTGTGTGTGTGCATGCACGCGTGCACGCGTGCGTGCGTGCACACTCACACAATGTGACTAATCTCTATCTCCATCTGCCTATCTAGACAAACGGTCATTTTAAACAGACATACATAATTGTGCAGCTATTTAAATGTAAAATTAGATTAGTAGTTTTCCCTCTGTTGTGGTCTTTGTCATTCTTCTTTTTTTACTGTATTTACCAGCATATTGTCCTCTCCACAGTCTTTGGAAAGGGCATCGACTACGACATTTGTGTATAATTGCAGAGTGTCTTTGCTTGACTACAGTGTTTATGTATAATTGCAGAGAGTTATTGTTTCTTGTTTTGGTCTATATGACTTGGCAAGTATGTTCTTTTACTAAACATGCACTTTTCAACCGTGTGTGCATTTTCTGTTTTCTCTGTGGCCGCTGACCTCTGGCCAGCCTTGTAACGCTTTGACCGTTGCCTGTTTTGGTCCCTGTTTAGTCTAGACAGACATCCTGAACTGATCTGCGTGACTCCCAGACAACAGAGAGCAGATAGTGGCATTTCTCATGTCTGCAGGCAACTTGGACATATTTTGCTTGCTCTGTTCTCTTTTTTTTCCTCTCTCTCTCTCTCTCTCTCTCTCTCTCTCTCTCTCTCTTCCTTTCCTCCTGATCTTTTTTTTTCCCTCCCTCCCTCTCTCTCTGAAATTCTTGAAGAAGTTAAGACAAAAAGTTTCCAGACTTTGGCAGGAGTTCATCTCCACACTAAGTCTGAGCGGAATAGTGCGAGCTTTGTGCTGAGATTTGTCAAATGTTTGACCCCTCCATTTGAACTGAAGCCCGCTCTGTGCTGATGCTCAGTGAGATTTTTACGGCCTGTGGCTGTTCCACAGAGCTGACCATCTGTTCCAGGGTACAGCCTGCTGTGGTCTGTAGACTGAAGAAGGGAGTCGAATAATGAGTGATGTAAATGATACAGAGCAATGGGACTCAGGGAGGGAAATGTGCATCCAAACAGATGCTAGTTTACATGTATCTTTTTCACGTGAATTTTGCCTTCGCTTGTCCTCTGCCTTTCCTTCTTTTCTTTTCTTTTTCTTCGTTTTTGTATTTTTGCTTGTATTTTTTCACGCCCTTTTGCTTTTGCAGTMATTGCAACTCTTTTTTGCTCCTTTTTGTACTCAAACAGACCAGAGATTAGACTTGAACAAACTGAGTCCCAACGACAGTGACACGGTCAGAGGGCAGATCGTAGGTGAGTACATCCATGATACCCAGAAACAAAAATTATGTAGGAATTTACATGAAAATCTAGTATTACTAATTATTCATGATACCTTTGACAGCTCTTGTTTTAATGTCAGATCTGGAACTGATCTGTATGTTTTGTTTACACTTTAAACGTCGTTCATTCTCAATTAATTATAATGTTTTAGATGTCTGTGCATATTAATAGTAAAAATCTAGTCCTTAGCACATCTTAAAACTGGGTAAATTTACAGTCGCACAAACAAGAACACACAAGTTGCTGTCTAAAACAGACATTAGCAGTGATGTTAGAGAAGCAACTTTTGCTGCCCATCAATGTGGCAACGCTTTCAGGTTAATTGTCCAACAGTTAGGATTCCAGCACTCTACAGAGAGAAAAATTATTTGCAGGTGGAAAACATTTAAGACACCTGCCGAAATTCAAGATAAAGGATGTTCCAGCAAACTCGCATCATATTCAGAGTTCAGTGATCRAAGAAATTWAAAAAAAAACAAAAAAAAACAAGAGCTTCTTTTCGCAGTTTACAGGTTTCAGTTAGCAGGTTAAATGTAGAGCTCATGAAAAAAAACACTAAATATGGATAAATAAATACACCACACTTTCTGTGTAAAATACCTTTTTAAACCTCTTTAGGGTCTGCAAAAAATTACAATCACCCTACTTAAACCATTCACACACTGTTATAAACTTTACACTTCATGTACAACACTTTTTCAAGTCCTACTCAAACGTCCCTTAAGATTGCCCAGGCAGGGTCTTTGGCATGCTGCAGGGATTGTGGATCAGTCCTCCATTCTCTGATTAAGTGACAACATCCCTACCACTGGGCCAAAGCCTGGGTCGTTGGTAAAGCTTTGCTAGAGAAAGTTTTCTGTCTAAAATAACTGCTCAGCTTGCTTTGAAACAAACTGTAAGACTTCTGGGTGAAGAGCTTGACGTCTTGCCGTAATGCACAAGATGTTTTACTGAAACCAAACACTGCATACCAACTGTCAGGCATGGTGGTGAAGGGTGATAAAATGGGCTTCAACACCATAAGCTCCTTCTCTGTATAGAGCCCATGCAGTAGGGTCAAGACATAACTTTGGTATGTATTGTGTACAACACAGTACAGACATTTAGTCAGGTAAACACTATTCTAGGGCAAAGACCAGGGCAAGGTCATGGCTAAGTTCTGAAGTCTGAAGTCTGAGTCACCAGCGCAATGAGCCACATCACATCAAAGCTYCACTTGAGGCTTGTTGTCCTGCTCAGAGCAGGATGACACAACCTCTCTTATTAAGGATAGAGGCAGTAAGGGGCAAATAAAAGCACCTGAGATAGCCAGGCCTAAACTAGAGTCTGGTTCAGGCAGCAAAATGACCGTTGTTGGACAAAGAGACATTACAGAAACAACAGGAGGGCGTGCCCCAGTCAAGAGCCCTCAGAGCAACGGCAGGCAGCTTGGTTTGTCCTCCTGACAGTTTCTACAGCGTATTGTTGAGCATGAGACAATCACAATGCTTGTTTCAGGAGAAAATTTCCAGCTGCTCTCAGAAATCACACAATATCATAATAAGCTAACAAAGGAAGCTTGCTGTACAACACAAGAGAAAACATTGATCACCTGGTTCTCTGACATAAACTGGACAGTTTTTTTAGTTGTTTTTTTTTTTACAAATGTAGAAGCATTACATTTACTTCAGGTGGTGGCTGCTGAGGTGGTTTTTCTAGGTTTATTATAAATTAGGGCTGTCAAATGATAAATATTTCTAATCTGATTAATCCCAAAATAGCTGTGAATTAATCATGATTAATATTAAATTTAATATACATTTCTATTGCATATTGATTAAAATAAATTGAGTTATTAATTAGTTTTTAATGTTTTTATTTAGAAAACATAATTGATGCTTAGACTTGATTTTTTTGAATATAAATCAGGACCTAAAAAATGCTCCAAGCGTATTTGAGTCAGTTAAATTTTGTGCAGAATAATGGTTAAATCAAGAATTCAAGGATTTTCATTCCAAATGAGTACTACGTGACGAATGAAAGATAGATGCTAAGGTCACAGCTGTCAGCAAAGCATAAATAAATAAAACAAAATAAGCCATAAGAAGACAAAAAGGAAAAAAACTGTACACAATGTGTTACACATGGAGTTTTTTTAATTTATTTTATTTATTTAACCTTTTATTTATCCAAGTAAACTGTTTGAGGACCACTTCTGAACCACTGATTGGTGGGCCTGATGGATAGAGCTTCATCAGAGCTAAAAAGCAAAAAAAAAAAAAAAAAAAA